ATAGCATAATGGGCCCCAAAAAAACCCTATTCTATTTTTCTTTTTAAGGCCCCATTACTATACCCTCATAGAACCCTTATAACTATACTAATTCTTAAGGCTCCCATCTAGTACTTCCTTGACTTGGCCTCCATGTTCTTTCAGCTTCTGCCTGTCTTCTCGCGGCTCTCCTAACCCTGGTGATCTGCACCCGCTGCTTCTCGGCCATCCGCTTGGGACACCCGGCCGCCGATGGCCCCGCTTGAGGCGGAGATGACCCTAAACTCTAAACCCTATATACCCTCAACCTTAAAGCCGCAACCCTAAACCCTCAACCCTCAACCCCAATGTACCCTCAACCCTAAACCCTATATACCCTCAACCCTAAACCCTATATACCCTCAACCCTAAACCCTATATACCCTCAACCCTAAACTCACAGGAATGTCTCGCCATCGGGCCGGCCGATGGGCCCAAGGTCGCCGGGCCCATCGCAAAGGAGGAAGCCCGGTTTAGGGTTTAGGGTTTAGGGTTTAGTTTTTTTTTAAGTGCTATGGGACTTTCACTCCGCATGGGTTTAGGGTTTAGGGTTTAGGGAGGAGCCGCTCGTAAGAAAACGAGTGACGGCACTTGCAACGATGTGGAGTGGACCGCTGCGGATAGCAAAGTCGAGTAACATTAATCACCCAGATCTAACCAGGATGTGTAGTTATTCATATCCATCTATCCATCTATCTATCTAACTATCTATTTCTCCCTCCCCCGCCCTGCCCCTCCCTCCCTCCCTCCCTCCCTCCCTCCCTCCCTCCCTCCAGGGTTCCGGGGCTCCTTTATAGTAGATTTATCATAAGGAACCCCCCAAACCAGTATTGGCAATTATTCAAGCTCCTATGTTAGGGTTTAGTCTAGGATTCATGCAAGCGGTCATGCGGAGTTTCACGAAGCGAGACACTTGGCGACTCAACGGATTCCAGTTAACAAATCTAGATTTCGGGTTTAGGGCTTCGGGTCCATCTGTGTGGCGGTCATATCAGTTGGGCTTCAAGCTCAAATGCTTAGACTTGTCTTGACGTGCAGGTTTTAGGGCCCTAGATGGATCTATCATTGTGACTCTCATGCTGTGAAGCTACTTGCTGCTTGCAATTCGTGCCGACATGAATGCCGCTCTGTCTGCGCCACTGCCCTCACAATAAACCCTAAACCCTAAATCCTAAGCCCTCAGTGACTCAAGCCCAGGGTTTCGGGCATGGACTTTAGCCTGAGGCCAGTAAATCCTGAACCCTCAACGACTGCACCGTGGAGCCCAAGCCCCGCCACAAAGGAAGCAGCTAAGGCTCTGGCAGAGGCCTTTGTGCAATCCTCTTCCAACCACCTTTCGGTTTATATATGCTTCAGAAAACAGGGGCTTGAGCGGTTAGGCTCCAGTTCACCCCGAAACAGCTACTAGAAGGGTCACATACCACCGCCTAAAGTTCAGGTCCTACGGTTTTGCAAGATTTTATACAGGTTCCATAGGGATGATCAGACCATGAGCGTTATGGAAGTCATTGGTTTCATAACCCTAAACCCTAAAAACCATGTAGAGCCGTTATCGAAATTCCCTGCAAAACCCTTGTAAATAATCTTCCATGCCCGTATAGCAATGCTTACAGCAGCCCGTATAGTCCGTGCAGTAACCCTTTTAGGGCCCTTGAAGTAGCATGTAGAGTCGCCCGTAGAAAACCCTTACGATGTCATTTCATATCAACTTATATTGTACTATATTACAACTAATATGTATACATATATATATATATATATCATACTATATTATAGAATGTTATATGAAAATATGTTCTACTATATGCTAACGCTGCCTTAAAAGCGCCGCGGCGGTGGGCGCCAGGCGGCTCCGGAGGCACCGCGCCTGGCAGCGACAAGGAAGTTAGGGTTTAGGGTTAGGGGAATAGGGTTTGGGGTTTTATGGTGGTTTGCGAGGACGTCGCAGGGTATACGGGCTTTGTATAGTTTGCTGGCTTTTTGCTCGGTTTTGCAATGGGTTTAGAGGCCTGTATGGCGCTTCAATGTGCTTTAGAATTAGAGAGGCTTTTCCAGCAGGTGCTGGGACAGGAGGCAAGGTAAAGAAAAACGAGGCTGATGTCTTACGTGCCTTTACCCATACCATTACGGAACTCATAACTCCACTTACTATACCGTATCTGGTTATCTATGAATCTGCAGATACAGGTCTATCCTGCTCGAAGCAGGCTGAGGCTGATGGTTCTCAAGCCCTCAAAACCGAGGTTATGAAGTCTGCCAATCGACAGCTTCCACTTGGAGGAGCATGGGACTTAGTAAGTAAGGTTATATGTCCCCTAATTGGGGTTATAAATATAGTTACCTTAGTTATAACCCTACTTACTAAGTCCCATGATCCTTTAAGTACCTAGATAGTAGCATCCGTAGAAGAGGAAGAACCTATACCAAAGGCGCCATACTTTCAGCACCTGAGCATCTGCATGCAGCTCCAGGTCAACAGCGTCCTCCGTGATGGCACCTTCTCGGGAAGATTAGAGTATATTGCATTCATGTAAATTAAGTTATTCTACTGTATTCCGTGATATTAGCAGGCTTCTTCGAATGGCCCTTCATACGCTCGCGGCCTGGGACTACCACCCTTGCACTCTAAGCTACAGGTCCTCTTTTCACAGACGCGTGTAGTCGGAGGTGTCCAGTCCAAAACGGTCCCTTCCCAGGTGTTTTTTTTGCTGCGGGTTCTTCCAAGGTGGTTTAGGGTTAGGGTTCGAAACAAAAGACCCTAAACCCTAAAGCCTAAACTAAAACCAGGCAACCAAAACGCTGGGGCTCTGACCTGGTAATTCCATCAGGACAAAACTTTGATCGTCCTCAACACCTCCATAATCTCGACCACAAGGCCATAACCATCAACACATTATGTCATCAGAAACCTGCAAACCCAGTATCCCTAATTACAACACTAAATGCGTGCCTTCGGCGGGCAAGGCCGCGAAAGGCACCACGGCTAAATCCGGCTCCATCTGGTTCACGGTGCCAGAAGCGAGAGAGAAGACCTTCTATTGGAGGATGCGGACATGGGTGCACAGGGGCTTAAAGGGTCTGGTGAGTGTTAATTCGGGTCGCAGGGGTTTCGTGAAGGATATGGAAACATCTTGTTAGCAGGGCCTTATCGAAGGCAAGTAGACTAGACTTGTAAGTACAATTAGACAGATAATTGCCGGGTTGCCATTTCAACAGAACGACAGCAGAGTCCAGACTTGCGGCCGATCTAATTAGGTTGCAAGAAGAGCAGTAAGAATGCAACACCTACAGTACTGTTCGTTGCATTCGTTGCGGCTCTACAAGCGTAAAGATCATAGATGGTACCAGTGGCTACAATTTGACAGGCATAATAAACAAGATGCTGTGCGGCACCAAGACTGGCAAATTAGAAGAGCAAGCAATCTTAATCATGCCCGGCATAAAGATCAGAAGTATGAACAGTGATTAGTCCATGCGCAACACCAGACATTCGGAGGCAGTGAACCACAGCACCTCAAACGACTTGTGAGTTTCTGTTGGCTGTATTCGCGGACTGTGGGCATTGGTAGCGGTGGTAGAGATTTCAGGGTTTAGGGCCGTCGTCGTCGTGGCAGGAGTAGTTGCGTTGTAGTAAGAGGAGCAGCGGGGCCATGGCAGTAGCAGCGTCTGCAAAAACTGATAGCACCGGTACTCCCACCAACGTTATTGTGAATACGTTCCAGAAGTAACCACTGCATCACCTATAGTCTCCATTGTAGTTCCTTTTTGGGGATACCTTGTAAAATCCTAAATGGAAAACTGGTGAAACCAAAAAAAGGAACTGCAATGGAGACTATAGGTAGTTTCAAGCAAAGATCCTCATATCCTTCACCACACCCTTGGCGACCAGGTTTGTAATCGCAACCCTGATTGACAAGCGCCTCTGCCACTTCTTGGCTTCCGGGGAAAACTCCTGGCCAACATGAGCTTTCTGCGCAGACAAATGTATACATGTCGGCCGGTTATAATCTCTCAGGGTCTCTCGATTGGCATGAAGGTTCCCTCCCATGGCCTGAGAGCATGAACACAGAACGGTAGCAGAGCTGCCAAAACGAACATGCCATATCGTCCGCATCAAAACTGTGCCTGCAAATCCGCGGTCTCTTGGTCAAAGCCCCAACTCCTAAACCCCTCACCTCTGAACCTAAGCCCTCAACCCTATACTATACAGAAGGGCTTTATGATAAGCCCTAACCCTGTATGATACACCCTAAACCCCTAAACCCTAAAGCCTAAACCCGTACACCCTAATTAAACCCCTAAACCCTATGACCCTGAAGCCTTGTACTTTAAGCCCGGCACCTCTGAACTCGATCCTCCAGCCTTCGCCTTAGGGGTTTAGGGTTTAGGGAACTTAGGGGCTTACGTAGGGTTTCTGCGTCATTGAGGAGTGTATGGCTCTCTGTGTGTTGAATTCCCCGACACGTACTCAGCCTCCACTTACTCTCCCTCGCAAATTGCTGGCCTGCGTCATGGCTCGATATCTCAGTGGGATGATGGCTTACGCGGCTGACCTCGGACATTCACGTGGAGGTTTGACAGGGATAACCTAGTATGCCATAGTACACTATACTATTTTTGTACTACAGAATACAAAATATTACATTATACTGCTATCTACTACCTATTTATATTATATCAGGGGACTGGGGTTTGGAGTCTATGGTAGGCGGCACGGCGGCGTTGCAAGTTTCCGGGCACGCGCGACAAATCCTCGGGCTTGCGCCTGTTCTGTGGCACCTGTTAACACCGACAGATGGATGCATAGATGGATGGATGCATGGCTGGATTGATAGGTAGGTGTATATGTAGCTAGAAGAGGATACATATACATACATAGGTAGATAGATAGATAGATAGATAGATAGGCATGCAATATAGATAGACAGCGAGAACGAGAGAGAGAGTCAGATAGATAGATAGACAGATAGATAGATAAATAAATAGATAGATAGATAGATACGTGGTAGGCAGGTAAAAAGATAGATAGATAGATGATAGATAGATACATAGGACATAGGTAGGTAGGTAGGTAGGTAGGTAGGTAGGTAGGTAGGTAGGTAGGTAGGTAGGTAGGTAGGTAGGTAGGTAGGTAGGTAATTAGGTAGTTAGATCGCTAGAGAAACAGATAGATAGACAGATAGATAGATGGATAGGTAGACAGATAGATGGATGGTGGATGGATGGACATACAGACAGACAGACAGACAGACAGACAGACAGACAGACAGACAGACAGACAGACAGACAGACAGACAGACAGACAGACAGAGAGACAGCCAACGCGAGAGAAACTGAGAGAGACAGAAAGATAGAGAGATGGAGAGATAGAGTGATCGATAGATAGATCGACAGATAGATGGATGGATACATAGATAGATGGATGGATAGATTGATAGATGGATAGATGGATAGATGGATAGATGGATAGATGGATAGATAGGTAGATGGATAGATGGATAGATGGATAGATGGATAAATGGATAGATGGATAGATGGATAGATGGATAGATGGATAGACGGATAGATGGATAGATGGATAGATGGATAGATGGATAGATAGGTAGATAGATCGATAGATCGATAGGTCGATAGGTCGACAGATCGATAGATGGATAGATGGATAGATGGATAGATAGGTAGATAGGTAGGTACATCAGCAGTTAGGCAAAGAGTTAGCTAGTTAGCTAGGTAGACCGGCAGCTAGGCAGATGGTAAATAGGCAGATGAGTAGACAGGAAGGTAGGTACATAGATAGATAGGTAGAAAGATAAAGGATAAATAGACAAACAGACTGACTGACAGATAGAACAGGCAGGGGCTGCAGGCCCCATGAGCAACATAGGGCGGTTGCTCCTGATATGTCGGCCAGAGATCAACACGCTGGCCGCCATGACGAGGCCGATCCTCAAAAAGAAGCTGCAGCTGTCGGACTTTGTGGCGCTTACTTCGGGTTCTGCGTGGTGGCAAGTAGCGATCCTTATGTTTCTATCGGACTCCATGTAGGCTCATTGCTGGTTCTAAGTAGGGCCCTAAGCACCTGCATTCCGATCTTACCAAATAACGGCTAAGCACTACAAAGTCGTGGCCTTTCCTGTGACCATGCTCATTATCTCCATGAAGCTTTACGAAAGGGTTCGACTAAGAAAAACGGTGAAACTCTCATGCCTCAAAGGTCAAGCTCTGCAGCCGAAGCCTTCAACGCCACTCCCCTCTCGTTCCATGAGCTTAAAGGAAACTACAGGTGCAGAGTTTAGGGTATATAGAGCTTCTTTGAGGCTTCCACAAGGTATATTGAGCTTCTATAAGGCTCCTATAACGGGACCCCCATCCCTGAAAACGAGGCCGCCGGCCAGGCTTTACAGGGTTTAGGCTTTAGGGTTTGGGGGGTTTAGGGGTTTAGGGGTTTAGGGTTTAGGGGTTTTGGGTTTAGGGGTTTTGGGTTTAGGGGTTTAGGGTTTAGGGGTGTAGGGTTTGAAAGAATTTTACGATCGCGGTATATGGGTCGCGGGGGAACAAGTCTAGGCTTTAAGCTCCAAGGGTCAGGGGTCTCGAAGGGTAAACCTTAAAGCTTCAGAACTCTACTGGGTTTCGGGTTTAGGATCCAGGTGTAAACCGTAAGTGCGTTGACCTAGGAGTTGCATGGGAGTTTTGCGGGTCTTTGCAACCTACACCTACACACTTTCTTAGCCGAAAAAGTATCCTGATGGAACCCTTGCAGCTTACCCCTGTAGAAGCCTTGCAGGAGCCTCTACACTGCCCCCTTTCAGTACCCATACAGAACCCTGATAATTACTGCAGAACCCTTAAACCTTTATGTATAATAGCGCCTTGAAAGCTCTGATGGAGCCCGACAACAACTCTTAAAGCAACCTTTTGTCCCTGTAGCACCCTTTCGGGAACCTTTCTAGCATCCTTTACCCTAAACCCTAAACCCTAACCCCGTAGCATCCTTTACCCTAAACCCTAAACCCTAAACCCTAGCATCCTTTAAAACTCCTCGAAGCACGAGACCTCACCCTCACCAGCCAGGGCGCAGCACCCCGGTGAAGCGCCGCGCAGACTGCGACACCACGTTCTGAGCCGAGGCTAACCTGGGTTTAGGGTTTAGGGCTTAGGGATTGCGGGGTGAGGGCTGAGGGTTGCAGGTTTAGAGTTTTGGGGCGAGGTTTAGGCTTTAAGGTTTAGGGTTCAGGGTTTAGAGCTTCTTGGGGTTCAGGGTTTGGTCGAAGTGCCCTTCGGGTGTAGAGGAGGACCGGGTTGTTCAGCTATGAAGCATGAGACCAAATACCCTAATTCACAAATCCATAACTCCTTGAACCCAAACCCCTAAACCCTAAAACCCTAAACCCTAAAACCCTAAAACACGATCCTAACCCTGGCTCCAGAGGCCCAAAACAAAACTCGGGATACGAAGAGAGAGCCTAGCAACTGCTTGTGGCGAAGAAGTTGCTCCTCAGCAGCCTCGGCGCTGGGGAGAAAGGGCTTCAGGCGTAGGGTCAAGGTTTTGAAGCTGGGGATGTATGAATTTTGGGGTAAAAAGTTCCTTAAGGGTATGCAAAACCCACGGTTGCTGTTGCACTTCATCTTGGTATGGCTCTCGCAATGTCCGATGCTGCGGCGATGACTGCTTCCCATGCCCAACCTATTGAAATCATACGTCGCCGTCGACATGTCACTTCAGTGGCACAAGCAGCAGAAGGAGAACGTGTCGTTTATCGCCGTTGCTGTTTTGCTCGTCTTGTTACTTAAGCTTAGTCGAACCTAGTGTCGTGACAGCACTTGCAAGCAGGAAGAATCAGGCTGGTGCTTCCGAGAACAAGCCACCCAAAAAGCGACGCCATAACAGCAAAATGACAATTATCGTAGGTACCTTATCAAAAACAGACCCCCCCCCGCCCCCCCGGTTTCCTCCTTAGTTTGGAGAGCCCTGAAGCCCCAAAGCCCTAAATATCCACCC